CACGCAGGGGGGGGGGGGGGGGGGCGTCCTTAAATGACCTTAGCTGTTGATAGGACGTAAAACAATACTAAACCAAGCTAAACCAAATCAACTTGCGTTTTGTAAACACATACAAACGGAATGCGGAAATGGAAGTATTCCTGGTTCTTTTTGTAACGGAGACCGTTACATACAATGTTAATCCCCTAAACTGCCCATTTTAACCCAAATGATGCATTGGAAAGAATTTACATTGACATAATGCCCTTACATACAAGAACTAAATTGGAGCAAGATAAAAAAAACATTAAGAGGGACCATTGACATCATCTTGGTGTACACTCATAAATGTGTCAATTGTTGGCCGTGTCGGAAAATGAAACACGTTTCACATATTCACATATACCCAACATTGCAATTGCAATTGCGATTCCCTCTCCGTCATTGGATGAAGGAATATGTTGATCAATTTGTTCCTGGAGAAATTTCCATATTGTACACATGTTATCTTTAAATGCTTTCATTTTGAACATATCTCCTGGAACATATTTCAGGAAAGGAAGCATTTCCATTAACCCGATAGTAAGGCTAAATTCACCATTTTGCCTTATTCGCTTTACCAAATCTTTCAGTCTAGTGTCAGCATGATCAAATCTTTTCCCGAACATTATTTCAAAAATGACATTAGCGCTGCTTAAAAGTGCTAACGGTTTCATATCGAATGGACGTCCATTCTGATCTCCAACGGAATCTAGAAAAGAATCGACCTCTACTTTGATTTGTTTTTCAAATGGTCCTTTTTTTGAGCCAATTCTCTTTAGTGTTTTAAATGCATACGTTCTTGTTCGCTTCCAGAAACCGCCGGAACTTGAAATGATGCCTGAAACAGAATAAGTGTAAGTTAACTTGACTCAAAAATACTTCAAATATACTTGAACTAGGTTATAAAATTAAAAAGAATGAGTGTTAATCGGCTACCATGTTCATCAAACTTGAAACTTTCTTTTTCATCTATTAAATCTAACTTATGAGGCTTTGATAACACACCATCAATTCTTGTTTAGCCTTTCTATTTTACACCAAAACGTCCATATTATGTTTGACGAATAGTTATCTATTTATCTGTATCTTATAACAACATGTAAAAAATGCACAAAGTATCCAGTAGCCAAGCACTGTGACCTCAATTATATCGGTCTAAACTAAGATAAAGGTGAAGAAGGTAATGGATGCTGCCCCCTCCCTAAGGCTGGGACATACAAAGTACCCCAGTCTATTCAAACGGTAGCCGTTATTCTATTTTAACGTTCAGCATTTTGGGTAATGCCAACAACTGGTTCACCCACTGTCAGTATGATGAGACCGGGTGCAATACTGTGCTGGGTGTCTTCGGTATGGTATTGCACACATGAAGACACGTCTTTAAAAGACCTTAGCTGTTAACAGGACGTTAAACTAGTAACTACAAAACCGTAATTTAATAATCAAGATCGATAACATTATGGTTTAAAATGAACAAAAGAAAGATTTACATCAAGACCCTTGAAAACGTACAATGAGAATAAGTCCAGGTGTTGCAAAAGGTTAAGCGTCTTATGCTTCACCGACGACACAAGTATTGTACAACTTTAAATCTAGTTAAAGTAAAATTAATGTCACGTCCTCATAGCGACAATTGAGGTAGTGGCATCTAATGCAGTATTTGCTGTTGACAATAGCTTAGAACTGTGTATCATGTATGCTTATTGTAATTCGATTAATTCATGTTACACTTCCAGTATGATTACTGCAATTTTAAGTACTTTATTGACGCTATATATAGAACTTTGTTCCTGGCTGATAACTTTGGTATTTATTGACCGATTTACATGAAACTTGATCAAGATGTTCAGTTCACAAAAATACACACTGAGGTCAAAGGTCAAGGTCATCAGATTCAAAGGTCAAGGTAAAATTTTGCATCTTTTCACTGTAGTCCGGTGGCTTAGCAAAATTTTTGTGACACGCTGGTCCAAAGCACCAAAATTGGTACAAATGCTCCTNCACCAAATGTCACTGGGTCAAAGGTCAAATTTTGTATCTTCACTGATGAACATTTTGTTCTGACATAATGAAGCAAAAGTTGGTCGGAATTAAACAAAGAGTCAATCGACTTAAGGTCAAGGTAAAATTGTGTATCTTTTCACTGATGAACATTTTGTCATGACACTTTGAAGCAATGTTGATTAGAATTAAACAAGAAGTCAACTGATCAAAC